GTCCAAGTCCAGCCTGGCCACCAGGTAACTTAGGAAGACTCTCAAACAACTGTTAGAGGGCTGGAATAAACAATTTTTTTAATGAGGCTGGCTCATTGTGAAGGCCTTATATTCATTTTTGAGAAGTTATAGAAAAAACCCTCTTTTCTAAGTAAATATTTGCAGTGTGTAGTTCACAGTGCTGTTGTATTCTACACAAGTAATGCTTCTAAGTTCACAAGTATACTTACCCTAATTCCAACATTACACAGTAAACAGGCATAAAAACATTATTCCACAAACACATGCAGTTCTTACAATTTTACATATTAGGTAAAATGTATTTAAATTTTTTTTAAACCTTGGGAAAAGAGGTTGGGACTTTACCCATCACAATGAAGAAACAAGAAAACTTACAGAGAATTATTTCTGGAAAGAATTAGTTGATCTTTAAAAGAAACTTTCCTAGTAGTCAATAATTTTATTCCTCATGACACTGGTCTATACAGGAAAAGATAACAGCTAGAAAAATTCATGTTATAACACGTACAGATTACAGAAAAGAAAATGTCAAAAATTGAATAAAAGGAAACTTAGACGGATTTCACATAGGATGCGGCCTGGCTGTTAATGTGAGCAGGTCGCTCCTGACCAGCACTTGCTTTGTGGGAATGGTTCTGCCAGATGCTGGCAAGAATTGGAGAACATTTGCAGAAGTAAGGTCACAGCTCACAATCAAAGCAGCAAATCTCAAACCAAATCAAGTTCGCAGGACTGCAGGAAAATTCTTTCAGTCCTCAGAGGTTTGTCTAGGCAGAACGCGCCCATAGGAAATTTGGCTTCCTTCTGCTGGCATCATGCAAGCCTTTGACCACACAGCCACACAAATAATCCCCAGGCTGTGCTCAGCTACTCAGTGCCTAGGTGCACTGAGCTGGGCAGAGGGAGCCCACCTGGCTCACACAGCTGCCAGGCAACAGGCAGAGGCCCCAACAGGGTCCTCAGGGAGCTCAGAGCCTGCAGGACCAGCAGATCCACAGAAGGGACTTCCCCTCTGGGCCTCAGCCTCCCATAGTGAGTCAGGGACAGGGGACCAAGAGCTGTCACCACTGAAAGGGTCCTCAAGTGTTGGAGACCACTAGGTAGAGGCCAGAGCAGCTTCTAAATGAACCGATTGTCTCTCTGTGATTCCCTGTGAGTCTGTCCCAGGCCTATGCCCCTTATCTGGAGGTGGCAGCAGATCCATAGTAAGTGACCTCTACGGCCACAGCTGAGCACGCCTGGCTCCCACCCCAATTAACTGGAAACTCCAATCCCTCTCACTCCAGTGGTCAAGGGCTCCCAAATTCACATAAGATAGTTCTCCCAAATTGGCATAACTCATTACTTGGAGTAGCCCTTGAGCTGAATCCCCAGGTCCTGCTCGGTTTCCAAAACTTTTAATTCTGAACCACTCCTTGGTTTGAAAACCAAATAAATATGGATGCTCAGCATTCTCTGTTTCAGCCCCTGAGTCTTGAATTCTGCCAAAGGGCTTTGACCCCTTTGGAGCCCTAAAATCACACCACTCATCTCTTTTATTTAAGACTTCGCTGTCCACTCTATGGAGGCTGCAGTCCACGGTACTCAAGGCAATGCCGCTCACACTGAGACCAGTGACAGCACACAGCATGCCCTGTGGAGGGGCACGGGGTGCCAATGCCTGGCCTTGGGGGTTTCTACTCAGGTGCTGGCCATTGACCACCCTGTGAACTCCTCGGGATAGGGACAGGTTTTGTGGCATTTCTGATGTGACCTGAATATGTCTCACTGGAGCTTCCAGAGTCCCTGCAGGGATCAAGGCCTTGTGTCTGGCCTGGCCTTGTCATGTTCTGTTTGTCACTGCCACCGCAAGGCACCGATGAGTGATCGATCACAGCTCTAAAGGCTGGTGCTGCACAGGAGAGACAGATCTCCGCACCTTCTGATTTAGATCACTCCAGCAGGCCCTCCTTTACCCCTCTGTGGAGCTGGGGATCAAACCCCAGGCAAGCCGTTGCACAGAGCCACCCTGGCCTCCACTTATTTTCTAAACTCAGTGCCAGGCAAAATCTTGAGTCTTTCTTGAGGTGGTACTTGGTGAAACTCTCCCTGTCCTGCCACCACCACAAAAGACCACAGAGACAAACAAGAAGGAGCCCCATCCCGGAAGGAGACAGGAGAGGCCAGCCTACCTGGACCATCTGGGCCGCTGTGCTGCCCTTGGCTCCCAGCAGGACCATGGCCAGGGCCGAGGAGATGCTCACAGGAGAGCAGAACACATTGTGCTCAGGGTTGTCCTGGCCCAGGAGCTTTAGGAGTTGGATTGCAAAGGCACCATTGGCTTTGGACAGCGCATCCATGCTTCAGCTCTGGAGGGAGGGACAAAGGTGTTACAGGCAGCTAAGTTAGAAATATTACAGGCAGTCACACAGGGCTGGGCCCTCAAAGAAGCCGGCACAGAGTATCAGCTGTCTGGGGACCTTGGAGGAAACACACATCTCTTGCTGTGGGCCAGATCTCAAAATAGAGGCCAAAACAAATGCAACCACAGCCTTAAAAATAATCCTTCGGGACTAAGTATGGATCACCCTGAGCAGCGAGGAGCTGCCGACCCAGCCCTATAGGAAGGGTCACTGCTGTGTGAAGAACCCTGGCTTGCTGCCTGCCTGCTCCCCCATTTGTCCCTCATTCGGTCAATTTTACCTGGAAAATCAAACTTATTCGTGACCACAGCTCATGCCCGTCTGCCCCCTGAGTCTCCAGTTTTCTCCACCTTTGCCCCTCCTCACCTCATGGTTTTACTCTATAAACATCCTGAGAAAACAGGGAATCGTTGGCAACCCACTCAGGGCTCCTTCTGTGTCTCTCGGAGACAGAGGCTTTCTTTCTCTCAATAAATATTTCCGCTCTTATCTGCTACTATTCCTAAAATTCATTCTTCTATTTTGGAGAACATGAATTCGTTCCAGACATATAGTAGGTCGGGAGTTTCATTCCCCTATATCAAAAGGGCCACATGAGCGACTCACCCAGGGGTCCACTGTCCAGACTCCTGGCCACGTGGAAACTGTGCTTTTGGTTTTTATCACAAAGTTTCCAAGTATTTAAAGCTGCACTCAAAAAACTCCATTTACTGCCCCTCTTTCCAAAAATAGGCCCAGATTTTAGAGGAATTAGCTAAGTGTGATGGTGGCTGTAGACCAAGGCAGCCTGCGAGCCTCAGGGAAACCCAGAGAACATCCAGATGCACAAGCAGGCAGACAGACAGACAGCCTGTGTGCTGGGCCACACTGACCCTTCCCCACAGGGACCTGCTCCTCTCTTCCCAGGAGCAGGACAGAGTCCTGCAGGGATGCAGAGGACGAGGAGGACCGCAGCGATGAACAGGGCCGATCTCTAGCCTGGCCTCTCGTATTCTCACGTCTGTGTCTGAGAGTCACTGGGTGATTTTCTGATGGACACCAGGCTGGGAATACACAGGAGCTGCTGCCAGAGGCAGCTGTGTCAGCTGCTGTGAGGCCAGAGCCTTCTCTACAGGGAGGGATCTGGGACCAGGGCCAGCAGAGGGCGCCAGGCTGCTGTGTCTCCTGCCCTGCAGCCTGAGGAGCCTAGGGTGGGCTGCCAGCCTGGCTCCTGCTCAGCCTGCATCCTGTTCAGAGTTCCACCTCCATCCTGCCCTGCTCAGGAAGTCACGTGGCCGAAACCCTGGACTGGGAGAGGACCCTGCGCCCAGTTCTCCTGTTTGCTTTCTCTGCCCCAGTCAACCGCACTTTCCCTAAGGACCTGTAGGGTCCTCTCCTCCCTGGTCCCAGCTCACCTGCTGGACCTCCCTGACCCCTCTCATCTGCCCTCCCCGCCTTTCCGGAGACCCCTCTTCTGCCCAGGGCCCTCCAGCTCTTGCCACCACCCAGTGCAGACCGCGACTGCTCTACTCCACACTGGCTTCTCTACAGAGTCCCTGCTGTCCCTCTACCGTGGTCCCTTCTGTCACCTGCCTGTCCTCACCACCATGCAAATCAAACACAGCTCCCCACACCCCACCTCTAATTGGTGCTGACCTGTGCTCCTTCCCTGCTCTGCAGCCACCTCTGCCCATCACGGTCCCCTTCACAGTGGGCTGTGGGCCGCGTGGACACTCTTTCCACTAAGAAGGTCCCTGTGCCCTGGTCTCCCCCAGCATCTCAGGGCAGCTGAGATGGCTTCCCCTCCTACCTCCCAGCCACAGCCACCCTCACTGATGTGATGCAGCCCAAGTCAGTGACCTGGATGCAACCTGGAGGCGGTGGGGGACAAGGACCGGGTCCCTCAGAGGCCGCGGGGTCAGGAGAGAGAAGGCTTTTGTCTCTTGGGGTGAGTGGCAGGGATTCCAAGATACTTAGGGGCACTGCATGTGCCCAGGGGCCAGGATTGCACAAGACAGAAGAGAACCGGGCGGAGCTGCTGCAGGGGACGCCGCGCCAGGGCAGGCGCGGGCGGGGCCGGGACGGTTCCACGCGAGGCCCCCTGCGTGTCTCCTCCAGTCCAGGAGCTGTGGCTGCAGAACCAGCGGGCCGGCTGCCCGGGTCTCTGCTCCATCCCCAGGGTCTGAGTAAGGTCTGTCCCCTGCCCCGCCCAGCCCGGCCTCGCCTTCCCACCTGGCTTTGTTCCGCTGGAATGGGGACTTCACCCGAGGATTGCAGGAGCGCTGGCAGCTCTGCCTAGCGGAGGAGGACACAGGGGCTTTATGGCCCTGGAGGTGCAGGAGTTTTCCGGTCGCAGGGGCGGGGGCTGTCCCGACTTGTCTAGACCTCCTGTCCCCGCCCGTAGTCACCTTGGGCCACGGAGACCACCGCGGTGCAGAGGTGGTGCTGGTGGTGTGCTTGCTGCAACTGCGCAGCTCTGAAAGGAATGCAGCCGCGATGAAAGGGAAAGTGAAAGCAGATCCCAGGGCCTGGGAGCTGGCTGGATGGGTATCCCAGCCTAGGGGAGGCTGGGCAGCCCAGCAGGAGCCACTTAGGGAGAATTCCTCTCAAAACAAAAAAATATATATGGGGGGGGGGCGGCTGGGGATGTAGCCAGGGCCTGGGTTAAACCCCCACTACAGCCCCTACCATAAACCAAAGAAGCAACAGAAGCCAGAGGAGGGAAGGCACCCAGGAAGCCAGGCTTTCCAAATTCTAGGAGGCAAAGGAGCCTGGGAAGCTCACACCGCCCCCTCCCCCAGCTTCACACCAGGGCACCCTGGGGATGAATTCCCAGGGTTTGCCCAGGAACCCACATCTGGTCAGTCCTGGGATCCTCTGAGGCCTCACTTTAGGTGAGATCAGCTGGGGTCTTCTAACAGAACCCTTTGGGTGCAGGCCCTGTTTTGGGATGACATCCCCTCCCTCATCCAGAGATCCTTAACTTTTTCCTCACTTAGGAGAACAAAACAAAACAAAATACACCTTTGTTTTTGTACCAAGGATGGAACTTAAGACCTAGTGTTTGCCAGGTAAGCACAGCTAAATCCCAGGACCCTACAAACACCTTTCTTAAAACAGAATATACCCAGCACAATACAGATAAGAAAAGAATCCTGAAATTCCAGAGTTAGGTTACTGGCAGGAAGAGGAAAAGGAAAAGACAGAGTTTCTATTAACTGACAGCTTCAAGCTAAACCAACAAAGGGGGGGAGCGGGGGATGGGGGCTGGGGGTGGGGACACTGGACAGAAAAACCTTTCCTGCTCCTTCCCTCACTAAGGAGGGTGACCATGGGGCTGCATCTCCTTGCAGCTGGTGAAACCAATCAGCAGACTCCCATGTGGACCACCCGGGACTGGGCTGGTGTCCCTTTGCCCTTGCCCTCACCTCTGACCAGTGTGGGTCAGCATAAGTCATTTATGGCTTTTCCTCTCCTGATTTTCATTCAGAAATTCCTTAGATTCACAGCACATTTTACAAGCTGGGTGCAGTGGACCTGTGAGCACTCTGGAGGCTGAGGCAGGAGCATCACCACGGGTCAAGGGCAGGCTCTGCTCCATGATGCGTTCAAAGCCAGCCTAGAACACATGGGAAGACTTTGTTTCAAGAAACTACCACCAACGATTTGTTTCTTTATGGATGGCCCACATTTGAAGGGTTTCCATCTTTGGTCCTTTGTGACTAATGCTGCTGTGAGTTATCCGTGTATAATTCTGTAGGTCAACTTGCTTCCTTCCACTTATCTTGGGTGTAAACCTTCAAATGGAATTTCTGGGCTATATAGTAACTCCATATTTAACTTTTTTTTTTGTCTTTTTCGTTTTTACTGGTACCAGGGATCCAACTCACGACTGCCTGCTTGCAAGGCAGGCACTAATGCCGCTGAGCTAAATCCCCAGCCCCGCATATTTAACTTTTTGACGATGTATCTGAGCGTTTGACAACTGTACAATACTGTGTAACATTAGGTTCATGCCCAAACTGTGACAAATCTTTAAATTAAACATGTATTACAGTGAAAGATACATTGCTTTTGATCACTATCAAAATGTGCAAAACACTTCCCCTCTCAGAGAGCACGTGGTGCCACCATTCTTGGCATTGTGTCTTTTACCATAGTCAGTTTTCTTGTAAATTTAAAGGTGACAGTCTATCTTCACCCCCTCTCTGTAGCCTTTCTTTTCCAGTCCCTCTGCTGGCTGTCATGTGATGTCTCCCTGTGGTTTTGAGCTGCTCATCTCTCTGAGCTGACACCCAGCACGTTTCCTGTGCTTGCTGACATTCTGAAGGTCTTTCCCTAAGAAAGGCCTATGTAAATTACCTTCCCTTGCTTTACAGTTGTTTAACTGGTTTATTTACTGCTGAGCTGTGAATGAGAATTTTAATTGTGGGAGTCACAATTCGCTTTCCCATCTCTATGAGGAGTTCAGAATCCTCCCAGGATTGAAGTATCAGGTTATGTAACATGCCAGCAGAGACAAGTGAGAAGAGATAGGTGGACACGTTACAGGCAACTGAACTGGTTAGAAATATTATAGGCAGTCAGACAGGGCTAGGCTGGCCCAGAGGACCAGATGTGTTGTGAGCTTGGAGGAGACACACACCTCTTGCTGTGAGCCAGACCTCAAGGTAAGACAAAACAAATGCGACACACCCTAAGTATAACCCTTAGGGATTAGGTATGGATCACCTTGAGAAGCCAGGAGTCACCACCCAACCCCTACTGGAAGAGTCACTGATCCCTAAAAATACTAGCTTGCTGATTTGGTCAATTTTACCTGAGCAATTAAACTTATTGGTTGACCATAGTTCTGTCCCTCCTCTTGCCCATCTACCTCAAGAGTTCCCAGTTTTCTCCAACTTGAGACCCACCTCATCTTATGGTTTTATTCATAAAAATCCTGAGAAAATACACAATCTTTGGCAACCAACTTGGGACCCCTCCTGTGTCTCTCTCAGACAGAAGCTTTCTTTTTTTCAATAAATATTTCTGCTGTGAACCTCCACTGTTTCTAAAATTCATTCTTCGATTTTAGAGAGCACGATCTCTTTCTGGACATAAAGTAGGTAGAGAATTTTGTTCCCCTGGATCAGACCGACGGATCTCCCTGCAGTCAGGCCATTGGGTCACCTCATCTCAGACCAAGTGGTGCCCCAAACCCCGCCATATTCACATAGTAAGGGGATTTTCCTTCTGCTGCTTTTTGGTGTCTCTGCTCTCGCTCCCCTGATTACACTGGTGAGTCCAGACCTGATGGTGGACTGCAGACCATCCCTCAGGCTGTGTGGGGCTGAACTTCCTTCTGATCCAGAGATTTCCAAATTCCAACCCTGGCTCTGCGCCAGTGCTGATCTGATGTCAGAACTGCTTAGTGGCCTCTGCCCTGGTGACCCGCGTACATGACCTCGTCCTCCTCTCTTGCTAGTGACACAACATCACAGGATGGTGAGTATAAAGGAAGATCATTCCCTGGGCTCACTCCTCTGGCAGAGTTGCAGTGGACACATCTAGACACACTCTCCTGCAGACAGAGCCCTGTGTGGTGCAAAGCATCTCCTGACAAGAAACAGGGAACTCTGCAGCGGCCTGGCAGGGTCAGTTTTATGCCAGGTCCACTGGCAAAGCTCAATTAGCCCAGGATGACCTCAGGTTTAGTGGCTCAGTTCCTAAGAGCAGAGCACTAATAATCCCCGAAAGGTCCCAGCCTTCATTGTTTCTTAGTATCTTGCCACGGGAATTACATTTCCACATGAGTTTCAGAGTGCGAAAGGGTACCATACCACTGGGAAAGTTCTAAGTTTGGCTAACAGATGAGAGCAGAGAATGAGAGGTTTTTTGTCCTTAAGTGACTCAGCACTTGTTTCCCTCATCTCCTCATGGAGGCTTTGACACTTAAAGCCCTGTTGAGACAGTTAATTAGCAAGAATGACCTTATTTCATTGAAATGACACCGCTTGATATCAGAATTGGAAATATTAAACACAAAATGAGTGGGGAAAAATAATAATGATCAGAGCAGAAATCAATGATTTGAATACAATAAAATGATGAAACTGGAAACTTGAAAGTGCTTCCTTGAGAAAAATTAAATTCATAGCTGTCTTGGTTAATTTTCTCTCATTGCTGAGACAAAATACCCAACACCCAAAATGAAGGAAGGACAGGTTTGTTTAGCTCACAGTTTGTGGAGGTTTCAGCCAGTTTCTTGCTGGCTCCGAGGCAGGCTATCATGGCAGCGGACAGCAGTTCATGGAGACAGAAGACAGCAAAAGCAACAAGAGCAAAGAGTGAGGAGTGCGGGGAGAAGCCTCTTTCTGTCCCTTTTATCACATGCATGTGGTCACCCGAGGGCCTGTGAGCTCAGCACTGGACCTGAGTCAATGGAAACTCTAGAAGCCCGCCCCATGACTGCATGAGGGGGAGGAATTAACAGTATTAGGAATAAAAGTGATTGTGTCACAACAGATTTTATAGATATTAAAAGGAAGATAAAGGAATAGTATGTACAACTTTATGCCAGTCTGTTTAACAAATTAGATAGAATGAGCACATATTTAAAAACCAAAGGCTACCAAACCTCAGTCAAGAATAGATATGATAAAGAGTCCTGAGTTTATTAAAACCCTGGATTTGAAGTTCAAATCCCACAAGGACACGCTGGTTTCCATGACTTCACTGGTGAAGCCCATAAAATATTAGTGACTGAAAGAACGAAAATTCTCTAAAATTTCTTCTTAATTCATTCTACGAGGCTAGAATTACCATGATATCTAAACAAGGCAAAGAGAAGACACGCATGGAAAACTAAAATCAGTACCCTTCATGAACATAGATGAAGATTCTGAATCGTACATTGAATTCAAAACACAGAAAATGGCATGAAGGAATGGGTTTTATGCTAGTAATGAAAGGCTGGCTTAACATCAGACAATTAAGTGATAGAATGCATTACATGAACAATCTGAGAGAAAATACGGTTATCTCAGAGATGGGGATACAGCATAGAACAAAACTGTATATCTGCTCCTACTTCAAAACTTAGCAGACTAAAATTACACAGGAACTCCTTCAACCTGATAAAGACCATCTATAAAAAACCTACAGCAAAACCATAGGTGCTAATGAAAAGCTACTTGCAAAGGTGTAGATTCTATGGACTGCAAGAAAGCCAGGAACAGAAGAAAGGGTATCTAAATACAAATGAAGACACAATCATCTTTATTAACCGGAAATATGATTATTCATTGGAAACAAGGTAGTCTACAAAAAAGGCTACTCATGAGTAAATTTAATGAATTTACAAGGCTAAAACACAAAAATCAATTATATTTCTAATCTAAATTCACAGGGCAATGTAAAGAACCAAAGCCTGCTGAAAGCATTTTGAAAATAAGAATAGGAGTCATGGTGACTTACACCTTGTTCTTAAGTGACAGTAGTCAAGAGTGTGGTATTGGCAAGCATGAGGTCATGAGTTTAATCTCTGGTACCATAAAAAAACAGAACAAACGTATACATATATATATATATATATATATATATATATATATACACACCCTTATTGGCACTAAGCCAACAGAATCAAAAAGTAAAATAAAATAAAATAAAAGTTGATATCTATATATATATTTATATTTATTATCATTTGTTATTGTTGTTTCTTGGTACCTCAGATCCAACTCATGACCTTGTGCTTGCCAGGCAGGTGCTTATGTGGCTGAGCTAAATCCCTGGCAAAAGTTGAGATATTTAAAAGACAGTTCATCAGCGTATCAGTTTACACACAAGCACACTAAGTGTTTGAACACCATTAGTACTTACACAGTGAAGCTCACCGTCTCAAGGACACCATCATAAAACTGTGAAAATACATTTTACAAATAGAGGAGTAAATGGTACTCGCTTTGCAGTTCTGTGGATTCATTTTTCTTTTCTTTCTTTTTTTCTTTAAAACAAACTCCACTTTGCAAAACGGATTCCTTAAAATGAATGTGGTCTAAGTGAGAATACAGTTTTCCTTGGTAATTTTTAACCCAAAGCTGTGATGTAACAATTGACTCATGTAACCAGCCGAGGCATGGGGACGCAAGAGAAGAACCAGGAGCAGAACTGTTCAGCCCAAGTCTAAAATACCAAGCGGGGCAGCAAACAGTGGTATAAGTTAATGACCCTCAGCCTAACACCTCAGAGAGCGATTTGGAAGAAGCATCAAAGTACACTTATCTACAGTCTCCAAAGTTCTGCCATAACACATATTCTCTTCTAATAAGCAATGCAGCACAAGGAGGACCTTCCTTAAGCAAAGGATCCACATGGCCATTTCTGAGTGTCTCTGACCTCCGTAGAGGCCCTGGTCCCCGGGAAAGGTTGAACGGTCGCTTTTGCGATCTGTGTGTGCATCACAGGGTGTCTGTTTAGCATCAGATTCAGAGAGGCACCCCTGGCCCCTCCAGAAGCTCAGGGCCACAGGCCCGCCCTGCAGCTGGGTCTGATGGAAGAAGGCGATGGCCAACCTGTTTCCATGAGGGACCCTGTGTCATGTGGGATGTCAAGGGCTGTGTGACGTGTCAGGAGGCCTGGGTGGCTGTGGGAGAGCCTTCCAGGCTCTCTGGCTCACCAAGGCTGGGCTGGCATCTCCCAGGGACTCTTGTGGCAAATGAGTGCAGCCTGGAGACATCTCCAGGACACAGGATGCATAAGTTGTGCTGTCCAGAACTCACAGAGAAGCTCCTGAGCATATCTGCAAGAGTGGCCTAGCCTCGGGGGCTGTGGAGGCTGTCACAGGGCGTGCTGGCCAGGACACAGCAGCCTTCCAGACTGCAGCATGGCTGATGGAGCTTAGGTGCTCCCTGGGGCTGCAGAGCTCCCTAGAGCTGACACTTCATTTCCCCAAACTCCTGCGTCAGTTGCATCCTAGCTTTCTGTCTGTATTTTGAGCCGAAGTCTTGCTATATAGCTGACGCTGGCTTCAAACTCATCCTTCTCCTTCCTCTCCCTCCAGAGAGCTGGGTTTATAGGTC